TATATATATATATATATTAAAGGCAAAATACATTTGTTACTTACCCTAGTTCATCTTTTTAGCATCTATTGACTAACCTAGTTCTATGCTGGCAACTAATCTGAAAGTTGATTTTATGTATTTGTGACTGTAGGTAATACTCCAGCTTGTGTCATATTTAATTGTATGCTTTGGTAAATAAAATATTGCTGTTGTATTTCTGTTTTTTAATGTCAGAACTGTGATTTATAATTTTATGGAATTTGTTTTCTTTTATTTGTTCTTTTTTTTTTTTACGGAAGGATAATGGGTTGATTTGCAAAAGGAATAGAGAATCTTAATTTAGCTTAGTGAAAGTAAAAGTGTGTTTACCTCGAATATCCAATCACATGCATGGAAATTTAGAACACAGGATTTCGCCTCTCACATAATTGGATTATTAATTTGAACACAACTTCACTATATTTACTTTGCTAAGGGAACATCCTCTAATCCTTCAGCAAACCAGTGCTCTTGTTTCCTTTCCTTACCTTTTTACAATACAGAGATGAAACAGGAAGTTCAGATTACAGCACTGCCCTGGTGTTCACCCAGACAGAAAAAAATGTCCAAAACAAGACAGCAATATAAACAGGACAGAGGTTCCAATTCATCCCCATTAAAGGTTTGTGTCGATGAGCTTTTGTTGATGTCAGAGCTGCTTCTCTCCCAGTAAGGGAATACAAAAATAGCTTGAAGCAAGGTATGCAGTTTAGGGGGGTCAAATGCAAGTCAACTGCTGGTCAATTGCAACTGTCAATGAAATCTGAATGATCCCAGAAGCATCTCACACTCATAGTCAGTCAAATGCATGTGGAATGGACCTGGAGGCACAGTGCATTTGCCTATTGACACAAACACAGATGGTGGGGAAGATATACTAAAGCGAAATACAAACCTCTTTTGTTTTCCCACCAATCAGTTTAAGTAAGATTTTATAAACAATTTTTCCTGAATATAATTGGGTGTTTCGATGGAACACAAGATTTAAAGAGCTTCATCAATACATAATCACCAGGAAGATTTGTGGGGAAAAAATAAAAGACTTGTCAGTTTCAAAGCCTTGCTAAAAGATGCTAAATTATAAGACGTTTTTATATTTAAAGGTGGCTGTTTGTAGATCTTCTATGTAAAACAAATTCCATCCTGCGCTGTCTATGTACAGGGTTCCTATTACACAAGCTAAAGGAGGAACTTGGTGAGACAAACCATATTTTGGGATTGTGGAGCTTCAGAAATCGATTGTAACACCATAATGAACAGTTTGTAATGTTTTAGTTCATTGTGAACTGTCTTCCAATAGCAAACACATTTTTCTCAGCTAACAAAATATGTGACTCGATCGCTTGATGACAGGTGCACCTTACCTCTCTAAGACTGCACGTAATGTGCAAAAATTAGGTTAACAAGCATATTTCCTCAAGCACAACACATACGTAAATCTGAAAGTCAATTAAATCCTGACTCCATGTCCATGTCCATGTCCAGGACATTTCATGACAGTTCAGCAAAAATCCATGAATCAGTAAGAACTTTCCATTATTCCTCCTTGTACTTTTTTATCGCGGTGGTCTGGAACTGCAGATGCAATCACACCTTTCATGATGCTCCAGCTGGATGTCTATGATAGACATATTCTTTCCATTCTTTTTCTTATTGTAGCCAACTTCAGGCACGACCCTCAGCACCTAAAAAATAAGAAAATGACAAAAAGAAACCAAAAACATTATTATTGCATGTACAATGTCTGCCACAGGGCTGCTCCCAAGGTCGCACAAATGTCTCACACTGTCAGTCATATTTCAGCTAGCAGTTACGGGTAAATTGGCATGCTTCTAAACCCTGAAGAAGAAGAACGGGCAATGTGATTGCCTCAAGCAAAAAAAACTAAAACTCTATACAGTGCCAAACATAAAATTGTTTTAATAT